GGCGGCGGCAGAGGCAGAGGCGGTGGAGCAGCGTGGAGGAGACGGGCGGCTCTACCGGAGATTGTCGGCTTTGGGTGCTACAAAAGGGTCGGTAACTGAAACAATAAATGAGTACATGAGAGAAGGCAGAGTAGTGAAGAAGTATGAACTGGAGAAATGCATAAAGGAGCTGCGTAAATATAAAAGATACCAACATGCCCTTGAGGTCTACTCTCTCGAATCTCCTAATTATTACCTCAACCCCCTTTTGAACTTCACCAGGTTTTACTAATGTGTCTTACAGGTTCAGTGTTTACCAAGAATTTTCTTAGTCTGGTCAGAGACTTGTATGTCAGCGTAGCTGTTTTTTTTAATGACTGAAAAATTCGGCAAAACTTGGGGATAATGGGTGGGCCTCTAGCCTTCTCCACTTAAATACCAAGCTTAGTTCGCATGGCGCAGAGCTCAAAGCTGTGATCTAAGTCCACAAGTCCGTCGACCTTTGCAACTTGATAAGCCCTGTAGGCTTGTATTTATAAAGTTCAGTTGATAAGAAGGTCAAAGGATGATTGTATTGAATCTGATAACAAGCCTTAAATACATAAATTACAACAAACTAGAGCTAAAGTAAAGTTTACTATCTGCTACGGAAGCTCCTATATAATAGGAACTAATATCTACTCCTAAAGATGCTCCAAATTATGAGGAGACTTATTCAAACTGTACCAATCTGTAACAAGAGATAAAGAAGATAATATTGTATGACTTAGTCAAGATAATCATAAGATAAGATGGTTAATACACCCCCTCAAGTTAGGCATGGTGCAACAATGTCTAACTTGGAACGACACCTAGCAAAGGCTGGTTTAGGTAGTGGCTTGGTGAAGGTATCAGCAAGTTGATCACAAGCATAAGTATGCTTAACATGAACTTGATGAGCTTGCACTTGGTCTCGGACATGTGCGAAAACTACAGCAACATGTTTCATGCGGGTATGAAATACTTGGTTGTGAGATACATAAGTAACTCCAACATTATCACAGAAGATTGTTGGCGTCTTCGGAATGGTGACATGTAACTCACGGAGTAAGTTTCGCACCCAAGTGAGCTCCGAAAGTGCATTGGCAACTGATTTGTACTCTGCTTCGGTGGATGAGCGAGCCACGGCATGTTGCTTTTTTGATAACCAGCTGACTGGATTAGGACCAAAGAAAACGATATAACCTGATGTAGATATTCTGTCATTCGGGTTGCCTGCCCAATCGGCATCATCATACATATACAGATTAGATTCTGAGCCGCGAAGGATGCGAATACATGAACGTGCTGTTTCTTTGAGATACCGTAGTACTCTTTTAACCGCTTCCAATGTTCATCAGTCGGAGCATGCATAAATTGCGATAATTTATTGACTGCATAAGATATATCAGGCCGAGTGAAGGACAAATACTGCAATTTGCCAAGGGTGCGTCGGTAGCGCGTTGCATCAGTAGGGGGGGAACCATCGACTACCCGAAGCGGTTGACTGGAACACATAGGAGTAGAAACACCTTTACAATTATCCATATCCATTTCGGAAAGAATGTCCAAAATATATTTGGATTGAGAGAGAATGAGACCATCTGGTACTTGCTTAACTTCAACACCCAAGAAATAATTTAAATGGCCAAGATCCTTCCATGCAAATCGATCTGCCAAGGAACTGATAACAGATTTAATCAATAGTGAATGATTTTCAGTGACCAAAATATCATCAACATAGACGAGCACATAAATAGTTGCAGCCAAATGCGTCAATACAAATAAAGAGGTGTCAGATTGACATTTAACAAAGCCCATCTTCTATAAATGTTCACGCAAAGCAGTATACCAAGCTCGGGGGGCTTGTTTTGAGGCCATAAATAACCTTTTTCAGTTTGCAAACATGGTATGGAAATTGGGGATTAACAAAGCCTCGGGGTTGAGACAAAAACTTCTTCATCCAATTTCCCTTGCAGGAAAGCATTATTGACATCAAGCTGATGGATTGGCGGTCTGTGTTGCACGGCTATTGATAGCACTAGCCTTACCGTTATTGGTTTAACAACGGGACTGAATGTCTCATGAAAATCTAAGCCAGGACGCTCCATGAACCCTTTTGCAACTAGACGAGCTTTGTAATGTTCTATGGAACCATCCACTTTCCGTTTGATTCAGTACAACCATTTGCAGTCCACAACATTTGTGGATGGATCTCGCCGTACCAATTCCCAAGTCTGATTTTTCATCAAAGCATCATATTCATCTTTCATTGCTTGTCTCCACTCTTCATATTTGTCAGCTTGTTTGAGTGTTATAGGCGTAGGAGACAAATGGGTCAGAAAAGAGAATGTTCTTTTGCGCTTGAAAATATTGTTCTGGGACCTGGTTATAATGCGAGTTGATTCTGGTGGTATTGCAGGGGAGGGATCAATTGTAGATGGGTTTGTGGTATTTAGACTCTCAGAGGGTGCCGAAGTGGAGGTTGGAGGAGGGGCTTCTCTGGTGGTTGATAATGGTTGTTGGGATGGCATGTTGCTGGCTGTGGTTCTGCGTCTCTGATATGTTAGCAAAGTAGGAGGTTGTTGCTTATTTGTAGCAGTATTTTGTGAAGGAGAAAGTGCGAGGAGTTGCAAAGAAGAAGGAGCAGGGAGTTGTGTATTACCTGAATTCTCTGTAGCTGCTGGTACTTGGCTGTTGCTGTTGGAGTGAATATCTCTATTGGAATTAGTAGAATGTTGAAAGTTGGACTCTAAAAAGACCGGAATAAGCGATGGGATAGAGGGAGGTGGAATTTGAGTTGTATTTGGACTGTCCTCTTTTGAGTTAACCACTTTCCAACATACTTTGGAAGCATTTTTTTGTAAATGTATGAACATTTTTTTAAAAGGGAATTTTTTTTCAAAAAATTGAACATCACGACTTACGAAAATTTTAGACTGTGCCGGGTCAAAGCAGATATGAGCGTGGTGAGTGTGAGAAATACCTAAATACACACAGGGGGTGGATCTAGGTTCAAGTTTATTTTTGGTGTATTGGTCAACAAAAACGCAATAATATAATTTTTATCTAGTGATAAAACAGGTGATGGTTCGCATAAATCACTAAAAACAATCTGAAGAGGCATATTACTGGACAAAGTGAGTCGTATGGCAAACGATGCGCTTTATTAGAAGAACAAGCATTACGAAATTCAAATTTTTCCTTGGTAGCAACAGGTAAAGAAAACTTCTTCAAAAGGAAATTTAAAATTGTAGAATGTGGATGACCCAATCGACAATGCCAGAGGTGAAGTGGGGCTTTAATGGAGACAAGGCTGACTGATGGTGATGCGGGTTGCAGATGCGGCCATTCATAGAGTCCATTTTTATTCCGGCCTTGTACCAACGGCTTCAGAGTATGCAGGTCCTTCAGAACAAAAGTAAAAGGAAAAAATTCAATCGTTCTCAATACCTTCCAGTCTCTGTTGAGTGGCATTCAATTCATTACGCAGGACCTCAAGCAGGTTTTCTGTTTCAGCTAGTTTTTCAACTGAATTCGTGTAGACATCCTCTAAGTTTTTCTTCTCCTCTGTCACATTGTTCAGGCATTGACTCAATTCCTTTTCTTTCTCCTTGGTCTCCTCCAGAGCAACCTCAAGGCTTGATGATTTCATTTGGAAAGCCTCTACTTCTGCTTCAAGTTCAGATGCCCTGTCAGCGTGCTTCTTAGATTCTGCTTCTGCCGCCACACATTTGTTCTCTAATGTGCTTATTTGTTCTTCAAGCTCCTGAATCCTATATTTTCCGTTTCGAGCATAACTCCAAGTCATTGACCTTTTTGCCTGCGTCCTCTACTTTCGAGTGGGATGCAAGCATCAAGTCCTCTAATTCACGGCTGCGTTGATCAGTGATATTGGCCCGACCCTCATGCTCAGTGCACTTCTCAGCGACAGTCTTAAGTTCCGCTTCAAGTTCTAAATTACGAGCAGTTGATTTGACCAACTCAGAATCCAAATGAGCTATCTTCTCCTCGTACTCCTGCAATTTAGTATCCAGCTGTTTCCTTTCTTCCAGGGTCTTCTCAAGAATGGCATTTAGTTCAGAAACTCTCCCAGAGAACTCCTCTAGTTCCCTCTTAGTATCATTGCTTTTCAGTTCCACCAGATTTATTTGTTGTTCTAGCTCCACATTCTTTTCTTCAGCTGCAATACAGCGTTTTTCCATTTCTCCAAGTTGCAATTTTGCTTCTTCTACCGCAGTGTTGGAGACTTGTAACATGTCCTCAAGCTCAACATGTTTCTGGTTGGCAGTAGTTATGGCATTTCCAGATTCATGGTGAAGCTCTTCCAATGATTTCAGCTTCTGTTCTAGCTCCGCACTGTTTGCTAAAGCTTGAGAAAGAAGAGAATCTGCTTTGCTGAAATTCTCATCTGAAAGCTGCAATTTCACCTCTAGATCACCACATAATTCCTTCATCTGGACCACAGTGTTGTTTAGCTCGGCTACAGCAGCTTCAAGTGCTACTTTCTCTGTAGATAGTTTGGCCAGCTCCTCCTGCGACACTGAGAGTTGTGTCTCCTGGCTTTTCAGTTTAGCATCGTATTGTTCCTTTAAATCTACTTCCTCCTGAAGCTTCAACTTTATGTCTTCCAACTCAGATGCTTTAGCTTGAAGATCTTCTTTAGTGGATGATAATAGAAGCTCAAGAGCCGAAAAATCCTCTTTTACCCGAGATTCAGAAGCTTTTCTAATGTCCAACTCTTGGCTTAATTCATCTATAAGAGCTTCTTTTGATGCAAGTTTATTCTCAATATCTTGTGCTTGTGATTTTGAGATCTCTAGCTCTCCTTGAACTTTAGAAAGCTCTGAAGTTGTACACGTGAGCGCTTCTTCAACCTTCTGATTTTCAGCAATCTTTTCATTTAGGCCCTTGAGTTCTTCTTGTAAAGAAGCCATCTGGTCTTCATATTCTTTTGCACTCTGCTTCGACAACTCCAGCAATCTCTCAAACTCCAGGGCCCTCGTCGTCTCTGATTCTGCAAGTGAGCCACTTTGTTTGTGCAACTCCTCAAACTTTTTAGCCTCACCTGCAGAAGTCAGCAGCTCTTGTTCGAGCTCTTCCATCTTTTTNAAGATCAATTTCCGGTAAATGATATAGCGGCTATTGTTATTGCCGCCAATGCTGTTTTTTATTGCCGCTAAAGGTCCTTTTTGTAGTAGTGCATCTTAAGGGATTGAGTCCGTTTTCTTTTCTTTTATGTTTTGGTGAAAATAGTAGTAATGAATAAAAATGGGGTTTCAAGCATGCTTCACTTGGTACCAACATATTTACCTATGATCGTATGGTTAAAAACAAGTTGTTGGCAGAAAATAGCTCTAGTTGTGACTCTTTTGACTCTTGCGTTGACTTAAACAGTCATCAAGTAGTTCAAATCGAGCCATTTGTGATTCTCAATCGTAGCTAGGGTTGTTGTGGGCCCTCGACTCTGTTCTCTTTAGCAATCCAGAAGCATGAGAGGTGAGATGATTAGTTACAAGTCCAAGTACCTGTGCTAATAGTCTAGAACTTGCCCTGAATGTTTGTCTAGGCGAAATTCTAGGTGTAGCTTGGCTTGAGAAATGATCCTATGCTCTCCTTGATCCAAATTGAACTTTGAAATCTTCCATAGCCTACCAATGTAATATCCCTAGTCAAACCCTTCAATCCGGAGCCCTTTTTCTTTCAATAATCACGTTACAAGCCTTTATCCGTTCTGTAATGATCCTCTCTTGGCACCCGATCTTTCCTTAGCATTCTTGAGAAACAATTGGCAAAAACATAAGTTTGGGGGAGAGAAGAGGAGTTTGAAGTGATGAAAGGTACAAAGAAGAGAAAGAAATAAAGAAAAGGGAAGTCAAAGAAAAGAAAAAAAGAACAAAAAGAAACATGCCAAAAAAAAGTGAATAAAGTGAAGAGTTGAAGGGAATCCAAAAGAAAATAAGGTGGAAGTCTGTAGTAAAGAGAAAAGGAGAAAAATGAATGTCTTTATCAAGAAAGAGTGATGTTACGTTCCTCTAGTTCCCCCGAGGAAGAAGAAAATGACTCAAAGAGTCGAGAAAGTATGAGCCAAAAAGAGAAAATGGAGTGCTTAAGGAAAGATGAAACCATTCTATTCCAACTAGTCCTAGCTTGGTCCAAAAGCCTTTATTACATCTCGCAAAACCCCTACATGATTTCAAGTTGAGTGAGCTTATATTAGTGGTGATTTACATAAGGAACAAGCTTATGGTACTCAAAGCCAGACTTGTGACATTCTTTTGAGATAGATGAGCGAACTTTTCACTATCCTTGTTTCAAGTGTTACATTTTGAAGTGAGATTTGCTAATGGAGAGTAGAAGAGGAGGAGTTTGGGATCCACAATGACATACATGAAAGAGCGAGCTTCCTTGATGAATAGAGTCAACTCTTGATGCTTTAGTGTCACACTAGAACTATTGTACTCAAAAAGTCAAATCATTGCATTGTTGATAATTCATATATGTTGTGGCTAATTGTTGGTCCCAATTGATGTATGACAGATTCACCTTAGGCCAACTGAAATATCCCTTTTTCTAGTGGAGGTGGGAATTGCCTTATTTGCTTGAGGACAAGTAAAAGCTTAAGTTTTGGGGAGTTGATAAGTAGGGAAATTGGCCGCTTATTTGCTCTCTTTTACTTGTGTTTTAGCTCAAAAATGCTTAAAGGTATTCCCGGAAACTAACGAAATGTGCTTACTTGCAGGAATATTGGGAAACGAGCCAAATAAGTCAAAATCAACTCATAAAGGAGTCAAAAGTGAACAAGAGCCAAAACTGGGCAAAGAGGCTAGCAGTGTGGACCACACAATTTTGAGTGCGACCGCAGAATGAGATTTAGAAAGGAGGTTTTAGCCAGCTCAGATAGTGCGGACCGCACCAAAAATGTGCGGCCACAGGAGATTAAGTGACGCCACAATCATTATTATGCGGTCCACAATATTGAAGAATCATAGAGTTGTTCCAAAACAAAAAGTTGAAGTGTGCGAACTGCAGCACTTTTGTGCGGCCACACCTACTTTTATGTGGACCGCAGAAGCCTAGCGTTCCAAGCCCAAAATTTCCAAGACATCAGACCGCACCAGAATTGTGCGGCTGCAGAAGCCCATTTCGAAAACGCATCAGAATTATGCGGCCGCATAACCTCCGTAGGGGCATTTTTGTTAGATATTTTCAGCTTAGCATAAATATAACTTTTTGTTATTTTTAGGTTAAGTTTAGTTTGTAGAGGTGCACCTGAGCAGTTTTCTTTACTTCTTAGAGTAAATTTGTATTTGATTGACTTCTTAATAGTAGATTGTGTTTGTTTAATCAATGATTATGCATTCTACCTTAATTTCTTCATTTTTCATGAGTAGCTAAACTTTAGCTAGGGTTATGGCTCAACCCTAGTGTTAATACTTAATGGGTATTTAATTTTAGGGATTATTTGTGATTGGATTAGTGATATCTAACCTTTTTTATGCTTAAATTATAGAATTAATGGTTGCAAACATTGATTCATGCCTTTTTGACCTAGTCTTTGCTTGAGAAAGAGAGACTAGGTTTAGGAAAACTTGGTTAGCAAGGAGTTGGGGTGAATTCAAGAAATTGATAGCCCCAATTAAAGGGCCAAATCTAGAGATAGTAAGACCCGACTTGTGCATATATCACTTAATTTGTGCAAATACCCATTTGGGCTTGAGAAAGCCAAATTGAGCAAAATCATTCAAACTACCGAGAGGTATAGAGCAATTGCGTGTGTTTGCAATACCACGAATCCGATAAATCAAACTTGCCCTATAGCTTACAACCTGTTAGATAGCCACCTAGGTGGAAGTCATGACCCTAGATTCCTTTATCATTTGAAAAACACTCAAAACCAAAAATACTGTCTTCTAGTTATTATTTGAAATCATTAGCTAAAAGTAGAAATAGAAACAACCAATGAATATGTGGAAGTCCAATCTAAGGCACATCACACATTCACTCTAGTTATATACCTAATCCAAATTCTAACTCCCTGTGGATTCGTTCTCGACTCGTGTTGGGTTTATTATTGCTTCGACCGCCTCACTACCTAATCTTGGTGTGAGTTTGGGCGAGATTAGTATCATTGATGATGTGTTGGTTCGTGTTGATAAATTCATTCTCCCTGGCAGATTTTATTATTCTTGATTGTGAGGTTGACTATGAGGTGCCGATTAATTTTTGGAGACCTTTCCTTGCTACGGGGAAGGCTCTAGTTGATGTTGAAGCCGGAGAACTTACTTTCCAGGTTGGTGATGAGAAAATGGTTTTCCATGTGTACAAGTCTATGAGGCAACCCAATGGAAATGAGGTGTGCTCTTTTCTGGACTTGGTGAACGATGTGACAATAGATGAAACAAGTGCCGTGATGATTGTTTATGATACTTTGGAAACCATCTTGCTCAATTGTGATGATGAATAAATAGAGGGTTATGTGGAATGTGTGAACGCATTGCAAGGAATGGGGTCGTACACTTATGAGCCCCGCAAATTGTCTTTGGATCTTAAGAATAGAACCACTTCTCCAACAAAGCCTTCAATTGAGGAGCCTCCTATCTTGGAGTTGAAGCCATTACCTCCACATCTTCGGTATGAATTTCTTGCCCCTTCTTCTACTTTACCAATTATTCTTTCCTTTTATTTGACTAACGTGCAGGTAGACTCCACATTGGCGGTGCTACAAAAGAGGAAGAAGGCTATTGGATGGACTTTGGCAGATTTTCGGGGGATAAGCCCCGCATTTTGCATGCACAAGATAAACTTGGAGGAAGGTGCCAAATCATCTATTGACATCAAAGGAGACCCAATGAAGCCTTGTAGAGGTTGTCAAAAATGAGGTCATCAAGTGGTAGGATGACGGGGTTGTGCACCCCATTTTCGATAGTTTGTGGACTTCTCCGGTTCAATATGTCCCAAAGAAATGGGGCATGAAGGTGGTCACCAATTAAAAGAATGAGTTTATTCCTACAAGAACGGTGACTAGGTGGAGAGTGTGTATGGACTATCGCAAGCTCAACAAAGTTACAAGGAAGGATCATTTCCCACTTCCCTTCCTAGATCAAATGCTTGATAGATTGGCCGGCCGTGCTTTCTATTTCTTCCTTGATGGGTATTTTGGCTACAATCAATTCTTCTGCTCTGGAGGATCAAGAGAAAACTACTTTCACATGTCCTTATGGTACTTTCACATTCTCGCAGATGCCATTTGGGTTGTGCAATGTACCGGCGACTTTTCAAAGGTGTATGATGGCTATCTTCAAGGACATAGTGAAGGATTTTCTTGAAGTCTTCATGGATGACTTTTCGGCGGTCGGGGATTCTTTTGATGATTGTCTAGCAAAATTGGACGAAGTGTTGGCAAGATGTGAAGAAACAAACTTGGTGCCCAATTGGAGAAGTGTCATTTCATGGTTAAGGAAGGCATTGTCCTTTGCCACAAGATCTCAAAGAATGGAATTAAAGTCGGCAAGGCAAAGAATGAGGTGAATTCTATACTTCCACCTCCAACTTCAATCAAAGACGTGCGGAGTTTCTTAGGATATGCGGGATTTCACTGGCGTTTCATCAAGGATTTTTCTAAAATGGTAATCCCGTTGTGCAAGATTTTGGAGAAAGATGCCAAGTTTAATTTCAATGATGATTGCATGAGAGGCTTTGAGTTGCTAAAGCTCAAGTTGACTACTACTCCCATCATCACCGCTCTAAATTGGAGTGTTCCTTTTGAGCTCATGTGCGATGCAAGTGATGTAGCGGTAGGGACTATTTTGGGGAAATGCCAACAAGATCTTTTATCTGGTCTATTATGCAAGCAAGACCATAAATAGTGCCCAAGTCAACTACACCGTTACGGAGAAAGAGCTTCTTGCCATTGTGTTTGCTATTGAGAAGTTTCGCCCGTACTGGATGGGTGCAAGAGTGATTGTTCATACGGATCATGCGGCACTTCGCAATCTCATGAGCAAGAAAGATTCCAAAGCTCCTTTGATGAGATGGGTACTTTTGTTGCAAGAGTTTGATATTGATATCCAAGATCGAAAAGGAAGTAAAAACCAAGTGGTAG